GTCACACGGTAATGGAATTACAGCCAAGGTACAGCACCGTTATTGTGAAGATATACACATGGGGGGGGGTCGTACTTGGCCGCCAAGTAGGGGAGGGGGTCGTATTTGGTTGTTGTTGGGAGAGGGGGGAGTCCGTATGTGCTTCTTAGGGAAATCTTCCGCGCTGGGAAAATAATTTTCGCGGTTGTTGTAGTGGTAGAAAGCTGGGAGCTTTTAGAAAATTGGTAGTTAGGTGCTGGGGAAAGGGGGGGGGGGTCGTACCGAGACCCTCCTTTGGGGCGGGGGCAGGGGTCGTACTGACGCAACCACTTCACACATCACAATGGTGCACCCTGATTACAGGGTCCGTACATACATGTATACACTCTAACTCTCAGTATCAGTGAAGCTACCATTACTCGTAGGAGGGAAGAATTTTTGAAGGACGAAACATCCCCCTCCCCCTTGCAGATGTGGGTTCCTGCGCAATTCTGCATGTGGATTTTGTGGGAGCTTTGAGCATGCTTGACAAAAGCGTATTGGTCTCACCAAGTAAGTACAATTCCACGAGAACATGCAAACTAGGGGAGGTACAAAATGCCTCCCTCACCTTCTAGGCTGAATAGCGCCTGGATTCCACGACCATGGCCTACTCTAATGTAATAGCGTCCACGATCGTACATACATGTATACTTGGGAGAAGCACAGAAAATCGTGTTTACTCTTATTGGCTACTGATTACCAGTGGGGAGCTGAAACTCAGTAACCTCTGTGTCTTCAGAGGTTATGCTATGGTTATCGTCTTTGGTTACTGGAACAGGAAGAAATTCACATTTTGAAAGAGAAATTCTCTCAACATCAGGACATGCCCTGCTAATATGATAATAGAATCCGTTTTCCCCAAGCCTGGATGTTTTCGACGCTTGCACGTCCGCGCTGCAACCTCATTCCTACCCTAACGGATACACGTCGCTAAGCCATGCAACAGCCCACCTAAATTTGCCCATCTTGCGCTGTAGCGTGACTTCACTTAACAGTACGCGCCCAAGAAAGTAGGTAGGAGTAGCTAGACGGCATCTTGCGGGCTTCCGGCGCCTCCTGTGAAGTTGTAAACTCTTGTAGAGGTATTCAATAGCACGAGCTTACATTTTCTAGAGTCTACCGGTTTTGCTGACCATAAGGTGAGACGTGTATGTAAGTCAACAGGAGCAAGGAAGAAAAACCGGCGAGCTAGAAAAGCCTCCCCCCCCCCCCCCTTAAGCCCAACAGCGCCGGTAGGTGCTTAGTAGGAAATGCAAGGGAGGGGATACTGTTGTGATTAAAAACTTCCTCCCTTACTGAGGAAGCAAAACCAGACAGATGAACTATCCTCAACGGCATCTTATAGAACCTACAAAATGGACACCTTATATATTTTTTCTTCAAGAAGGAAAATCCGGAAAAAAAGTTAATAGCTTCAATGGATAAACAAATTTGGCAACTTTAAAACTCACGATTGAGATTGGTGATGTTGACAGTATATCCATTAGGAATAACGGGCAACCGTGGTGTGATGGGACCGGTAGCGGCCGGCGGCATCGGGACCATTGGCGGAAAGGGCGGAGCCGCCACGTATGGAGGAGCATGCGCTGGTGGCATGGCGAAAGGCGGAGCAACACCTAAACACTGCATGTCACTGCTGAGAAAACTACCTCGCTCTTGAGTTGTAAAACTAGTGCTGTGGAATGCTGACTAACCCTTCCGGACCCCCCTCCCCCGCGCCCCATATGTAGGTTGGTGGCATTGCAGAACTGCAGGCACTACATAACTATTATTTCTGATAGTTCACGTTCCAACTGACTGCAGACGACTTCCTCCCCCCCCCCGCCTGACTCTCCAGTTTTGTTTTTGGGAAAGGTTGAAAGAAATTTTGGAGTCTTCGCAGGGAGTTTGGAGAATTTGTCAAGACGGTAGGTAAGACGGGAAAAGGAGAGTTGTACTGAAAAAGGAATTTTGGTGATGGTGTGTACTGGTACAGCCATTTCACCCCCGATGAGGGGCCTCAGTGAATGTTCGTTTACATATTCTTATTCTTTAGTAATGTGATTAGCCACATATACAGACGCCTCGACTGGATACTGTGGCATTATCTTTTTTGGGATTACGGAAAGCCCACGATCTTTTTGAGGCTATAAAAAGCCCGAACGCGTCTCTCTAAACGTTTTTAGGACGTTTGCTCCTAGAAACTTGAACTGACCCAACCACACGGAGGAGGTGAAATGGCTACGTCAGTACCACTCACGACAACCTAAGATTTCCGTGACACCCAAGCCACGGGCCATACGCTGCCCCTTCCTCAAAAACCTATTTCACCAACAGATAGTGCACTCGCCCGACCAGTGGGAAATGCAGGTTCGAGTCCGCATGGGGTCTGACTTTTGCCCGTAACTCAGCACTCTTGTGGTAACTCACTCCATGAGTTTCCTTGCGGTATCTGGTGTTTTCCGCCGCAGTTCACAATGAGAAACTTATCCAAGGATGCTAAAATACGGGAAAAGACATGGCTCCAAGCAGAACTCAAAGCTGGACCTTACGCCCAACGGCTAGTGTGCTGACCACTACACCATTATCTCCACATAAGTCCAACCCATCCTGTTCCTGCCTGTTGTTCCCAAAAAAGAAGTCCACGATGGGCTAAATCTAGTTAACCGGAAATCCAACAGGTTACAGCCATTCGACTCGCGCTAGTATATAACCTTTGGTTACCCCAAAATATCCTCTTACCATTAGTGGTGCGGAAATTGGAACGAAACGTTTCTGGGTTTCGCAGAAGAAAAATGGACGGCTCAGGAGAAAATTCCATTTGTTCCACAAAAAGGTTGATATTCTGACGTCCACGATGGGACTCTGGTCCAATTTGGAACCGCTTTCTAAAACCTAATCGAAATTTCCAGTTCCTGCAAAGCTAGAGGTGTCTTGACGAAAGAACTGACCGACCAAGGCAAGACCACCCCGAAAGTTTCATGATGACGTCAAGGTTCAAAGTCTACAGAATCCCCGCAATGATGATATCCAAATGCAAACCTGTTGATCAAAAATTAGGTAATAATTATTATATCATCTCACAATTATTAATGCCGGCTTGCGGTAGGTGTCCAATAGGTACGTAAGGCACTTCCGTCAATGAGGAATGGTCTTGTGGACCGTCGAGAGGCGGCGCAAACGCCTCGGCCAACATTTTTGTCCGCGGCACGAACTCAGGAGCCTTCAGCCATTCTGAAATAACCAATATAAGTACTTTCAGAAGTCGAACGCAGTCGCTTGTAGGTTGCCCAAAGAGTATTCAGCGGAGCTGGTGCAGGCTACCTTAAGACGACTCGAATTTCTGTATAGAAAAGGCCCACTTGAAACCCCTTTTGCAGCCTTACAAGTGTTTAAAGGTGGAAAATACATTAGCGTGGGAAATGCCCCTCCTGAACCGAACAACGTTCAAAAATTATTTACGCTGACCACTGAGCAAATGAACGAAATGTTAAGAGCTTTGGTAATTAAGCCTTACTGACTAATGCCCTAAGGTAATCCCGAGCCATCCCCAGAAGCTAAAAGCTACAGGTAAAATCGCGCAGCATACCCTTCTACTTCTACAGGGCACTCCCTTACTGGTAGCGCTCTTGCAGCTAGTCTTCAAATCCTTCTAAGGGTTGGGGGGGGTTAAAGACGTGTAAGGCATCCTCCGTGTAACTCGTATGAAAATTGCTTCCTGCTTCGTGTAAGAACAAACCATTTTCTTGGCTTTTCGATAAATTCAATATCATATTCAATTTTAAAATTCAACTTTTTTTCATTCCTCCTTGGTGATAGGATCCTGCAATATTTGAGCACGAGTAGCAAATCAATGCTTTTGCCTTCAAGGTGTTGTGTACAGCTGGCCAGTAGATTTATACACTCGAAATGATTAAATCTCTTCATGTTGTCGAAGGGTGGGGAGCTGCTGGTGGTGTTTTTCTGCTCATTGTTAGTCGGAAACAAGCTGCTTGCATCCTTGTAGCATTATTTGAGTTTCGGCATGTAGCGGGAGGAGGCTAGCATCAATATTACGGGGTCCCCACATGAAAAAGGAGTTTTTATTGCCTTGTTTTCTATGGAGTAAGGAGCACTCGTCTTTAGGACGCACTTTCGCTTCGAACGTCGCCAATGCTTTTGAAGCATCATTATACGCATTCCTTTTTTCATAATTACATGGGTGAATAAGTATTTTGAAAGCAATTAGTAGATGAGATTGTGCAAAAGGACAAGGAGCTACAGCAGTGTTCTGACAACGCTCGCGCATTCGTCGCTTGACCATGCAAATAAAGGCTTCTCAAATCTGAGGAATTAGGGCAATTCCTTTCCGAACAAATCCAAAAAGATTTGACAGCATCATTAAGCAATTGATGGTCGGCTTTGAAAAACAGCGCGATTAGGGCTGGCGATGTTGATGATGCAGTACAAGTGGGCACTCCAAGAGGCTGCCCGTTTACACTGAGACCAAAAACTGTCAATAAACTCAATGTGAGTTATTTCTCAGCCACGTCTGGCAGGCGCTATGGCCCCGTGTCAAGTCGCATATGTGGAACGGTCCATAACTGAGGGCAGCAAGAGGTCGTGGCCTGCGAGTGCGGTTGCAGGAGGCGAGACAGCGGTGAGGAGAGCAAGAGAGCGGTGAACGAGGTGGAGGGTGCAATGGACCCCTAACATTTCAAGGTGGCAGTGATCAACGATTCATGCGGCTTAGTTCTCGTGCAGGTTATGTTCTTGTACAGCTTACCACCCTGAAGACGTGGGTGTGGGGCGATCCGTATCTTAGAACAGCAAGAGGCGTGGCTAGGAGAGCTTTAAGGGTTCAGACGGAATAGAAGTAGAGATACATAATTAAGAGAAGGAAGTTGGCATGGAATGGGTAGCCACGCCCCCTGCTGCCCCTCGATATGGACGACACGGATATCTACGTGCACAAAACATCAGAGTTTCCCGCAGCTAGTTGTCTCGACGTACTGCAGCTCTCCCCGTTCGCCGTTTTGGCCGCGAATGGGACGTGCTGAGCTGCATCTGTGGCCCAGAATCCTCTCGTGGGCCTACTAGGCTGGTAATCACTCAGCATTGTGCTGTCTCAGAACCTCAACAGGAACGACAACAAAAAGAGGCAACAGAAAATCATTTGGAAAGGCCCAAAACTAGTTTAGAAAGCCGGCGCAGTTCATGGGGCTATGGTACCCAGTCACGTTTTCACAGGCCACTTCAAGTTTACCCGGAAATTCTTGCAACCGAATTGGCCCACTTCTACCACTTTGCAGCTTCACTAGAGGTTACAGGTTTGACCCAAGTAAGACCTCTTAGCTATCATCAATTAACAACCAGCGAAAACGAAAATGCACCCCCCCCCCAAGCCGAACAGCGCCAAAAAATCAGCAAAAGTTCTTAGTTCTGCCTTCGCTGCTGCCTTGCGTAAAGGAGAACACATGTACTTTTTGGGAGAGTGCTTAGCTTTAGCTATGATTCCTGCTCATTCCGTTCGCCGAACTCATAACAGGGTTTTCTTGCTTAGCAAAAGGCCCAAAGTGCTATGGATAGAAGAAGCTGGTGGTAGCCATGATATACGACGCCCAGGCATTGCCTGTCGGGAAGATTGATGGTCGAATTGGAAAGGTGAGAAATTGGGTGGTGGTCATTGGGAATGCATATTCATATCCCAAATGAGCCGCATAGACCAGGCTACATTCAATTTGACCATCGATTGACACAACCAGACACTGGGCCGCGATGGGACAGATCGGGCGGCCCCGCCTGTAGTTAATTGAATCGTCCAGCGCTCACTGGGTAGGGGAAGTCTCTCAGTCATGGACTAAGCTCTGTGAATAAGTGAACCCCCCAATAAACGCTAACCCCGCACATTCCTCTCTCAAAGGGTTTTTAACCCCGCGCATTCCTCTCTCAAAGGGTTTTTTGCCCGACGCTTATTAAGAATTCTACGGCGTACAAGTTACGGCTACGCAACTTTTCACTCACCAGGTGTACCATCCACTATAATGTTCACTGCCATTTAGCTCTTTAACGACACACTTTATCACTACTCGATTTATGGGACAACCACGGTGCATAATTAATTTTTCGGGGAGGTATTTGCCAGCCACGTCTCGCCTACCGGGATGAACTCCCAGCACATGAGCCTGCCTATCAGCACCATTTGTTGGAGACCATGAGATTATTCCTGTGCTTCGCAAAAGCATGGCCTGGACCACACGCAAAAATTGACAAAACATGGAGTGGACAAATGGTGGCACATTGCTCGCAACTGTAGCAAACGTTAAAATATATTGATTCAAAGTTAGGAATAAAGGATGAAGTTCGCCATTGATTAATCCTTTTTGGGATGTGGTATGCTCCATTCAGAAACGTAGTAGCTTACTGAATGCGTTGGCTTATATACAGGGGGGCCAAAAAAAATCACTTCCACCTTGTCACATATCGGCAAAGTTTTTTCAGCCCAGAGAGAAGATGTGGATACGAGTACCGGGGCAGATACCCAAGATGTTCCTCGATAAGCAGGAGCTGGCCCTCGCCCATCACCTTCATGTACACCAAAATATGAGGTCATCTCCAGTCGCAGCCTGACTGGAGAAGACCTTTGGAATTCATTTCACCTCCAAACAGCTGCGAAACTTCCTATGCGGAGTCACCCATGGGTAGCTACCTGGAGACCAGTACTCTCGATCTGGAAGACCTCCATCATCGAGCAGCTCCGACAACGTCGCCACGGTCTAGGACATCATCTTCACGGCAGTCGCCAAGGCGCGGGTTGAGTGGACCGCCACGCAACCACTGCAATGGAAAAGCAATATCTTTCTTCGTGACGCCCGGGAAGCTGAGCGCTGCGTTACTCGAGCAACTCGAGAAGAATATCTCCCCACATGTCGCGCTCACCTTCTTGAACTTTGTAGGCTGTTCCAGTCATTGGGTTGCGAGCAACATAAAGTCGAAACGCGTTTTTGGAGAAACTCTCGCCTACTTGGAATGGAAGGGGCTGAATACCTAAAGAAGGTGGAATATCCAAGTAGGTCACCTGACCTGAATCCCCTCAATTACCCGGTTCGGGCGGAGTTCAATAGGGTGGTCTACGGTGGCGGAAAAATCGACTATATCGCTGATCTCAGGCGTAGAAATGTCCGATTAGAATTTATAAAGTGTAACTTATAGCGCCACGAAAGCCAATGAAGAAAGTGACTTTTTGTTGGCCCCCCCCCCCCTGTACTAATGACTTGATAGAACCAGCCCGATGTACAACTGAGTGTTCCCATCCTCTTTGATACCCATGTATCGTTTCTGGAATGTGGAAGGTCTGAGCGGCTTGGGTGGAAGCGGATCCGGGATTTGATCCACGGACCTGTGTGCGTGCCACCTAAACTCTGCCTTCGATTAGGGAATATTTTGAATCAAAATAATATTAGCCCCACGTCGTGGTGCATGTAGAGCATGCATTCAGACGTTTTTCAGCATGAAACAGTGCATATTATAGCTGTGTGGAAGCCAGTGAACGTTATACTTATGTGGCCGTTGAGGAGAAAGGGCTCATCGTTCGGTACGGTGGGGGCATTTTGCTTGTTCCCAGTGATCACTACCGATGCCTCCTGTGGAGACATGCAAGTTCTTGGGAATCTCGTATGGACTTGTGACAGGTCATATCAAAGCGAGACATGTAAGTTTACAATTAAAGAACCCCACCCTTCCCCCTGAAGGAGACGAGCAAGAGAATCGTAATTCGCCGCTCCGCCGCGCGCAGCGATGGGCGCGGCTTTCTCAAACTATTTAGCCTGTCGATTGAAGCACCGGCTTTCACGTGGGCTACAAGACTGTAGACATTTATCACTATTTTCGGTTCTATCATAACCGCCCGTTGTCGCCATCTGCAACCGGGAACCATGACCATTTGCAGGCGCGACGTCGCGACGCCCATCAGCGCGGTAAACTACGATTCTCTTGTCGCGCCCCTATCCCAAACAACGCCGGACCAGACCTCATAGATAGCTTCTATTGCTCAGTCATATAAATGTTTATACGTATCAGTTTGAATCACAGAAGCTAGGTGACACCGTTTCCCATGTTCATGGTCCT